AGAGCTCTCTGACCCTCCCATAGACAGCAAGGATCCTTACACGATCAAGGCTCAGAAATGTAGCAAGGAGATCGGTAAAATAATCCATGTGACATCAGTGGTTCAACCGTAATTTTAAGAAGCTACAAGAATACTTTTTGTGCGCAAAGAAAACAAATTCAACTTTGACTTTATTCAACAATTTGTTTCCTCCACATCACCCTATAGCGCCATTTTGGAGAGTATCACATACGTAAACAACGTATGTACGCGGATACGTTGTTTACATTCAGATCAAAGCGTAAACAACGTAAACAGTGTATCCTCGTATGGTGCTGCTGACACAGAACAGCATACGTTGTTTATGTACTGTGTGTGATACTCTCCAAAATGGTGCTATAGGGTGACACGGAGGAGACGAATTGTTGAATAAAGTCGTTATTTTTGTTTTCTTTGCACACAAAAAGTATTCTCATAGCTTAGTAACATTACAGTTTAACCACTGATGTCACATGGACTATTTTACCGATCTCCTCGCTACGTTTCTGAACCTTGATCATGTAAGGATCCTTGCTGTCTATGGTAGGGTCAGAGAGCTCTCGGAATGCATCAAAAATATCTTAATTTGTGTTCCGAAGATGAACGAAGGTCTTACGGGTTTGGAACGACTTGAGGGTGAGTAATTAATGACAGAATCTTTATTTTTGGGTGAATTATCCCTTTAAGCAAGAGCTGTCTGTTTCTTTTTCTTTTCCATTTTAATTTGAAATAATAATAATTGCATTTCATTTACATTTATATGTATTACATTCATAAATAAAGAGTATATTATCATAATAAGATAATAATATAATAGTAAAAGAATATTTATTTTATTTAAATGCCATTTTTAGAATTTTATCCATTCATTCATTTGCGCAAAACTTGTGCCACAATGCTACCAATGCATTTTGCTCACACACACACACACACACACACACACACACTCTCTCACACACATATGAATTCACATGAAGTACCTTATAGTTCATATAAGGTACTTCATATACAGTCATTACTTATTTACGTAGTTACATAACATTCACAATCTACATATTATATACTGCAGCTATAGTAAGAGTAGTATGCTAGCCTGTTGTTCCAAACATATCTTTAATGTATTGTTGGGGTTTAAAGCTGAATAGGACAGCTGTTCTTACAATGGAATGGTCAGATTACACTGCAGCAAACTAAAGTTAGTCCTTATCATGTGTCAGACTCCTTGTGTTTGTTCTTCTCTCTCTCTCTCTCACTTCCCTTTCTGTACTTGGCTAGCAGGAGTCTCACCCGCTGCAGTGCTGCTTGGCTTGTGCTCACCGTGATAATGACTGCTGTGTTAAGGGGGTTTCAAATGCACTGAAGTCTAACCGCCCTTTATATTCTCACAATACAGCAAAATAACTCTCAAAACAAAGACGGAATTATGTCTATAGTACTGCTTGAATTCTGCACCAGACAGCTTATTTCTCTCATTTAGTCTCACGAGTCTGTGTTTAATAAAAATTCTTTAGTGGTTTGCTTGAAGCTGATAAGAAATCGGGTTATAAGTGTCTGATCGACTGCTAGGCCGCATATACACTGCAGGTAAATAGGGCTATTTTCCTGTTCTGTACACACACCGTTTGGACTGAAGACTTGATTGGTTTCACTTTCTCTCTAGTGTCTGTGATGGAAACACAAACAGAGAAAGGATCCCAGCAGTTAATTCATGTGGAGTTCAAGGAGGACACTTTGAGCTACATGGAGAAACTCCTCCTGAAAAAACACCGCAGGTTAGCGCTTGACACCTCGCACTTTATAACCGAACAGACACACGTTGAATAAGAGCATTACAAGCTTCATTTACCTTCCCAGGCCCCAATTAAGGTCCATTTAAGATCAATTAATGACTTATGGCTGCTAATTACACAGCCTCACCTTTAAGTTGTGCCACCGCAGAGTCACTTGAATTTACTGAGCTAATCAGCCCCAAAGCAGTCTTGTGGTATTGCTTTAACTTTCTGAAATCTTCTTTAAACAAACACACTGGCACTCAAACCTGGGCTGCCTAGTTTTGGGCCATTTTAAGGCATCATAGGCACACTTCTAACATGAAGCCTGTTCCAAATTGTAGGCAGCAACATGCTGCCTTCCAAGATGCCTTATTTTGGTATTCTAAGGCAGCATAGAGTGCAACAGCCGGGTTCCAGAAGTAAAAAATAAATTTATTTTCTTCATAGGGAAATTGATTTTTAATGATAACTTATAAACCTTTAAAGACAAAGCTGTTGTGAGCTCTGAGGTTGTTAATCGATGATATGTGCTTTTATTGAAGACATCTGTTCAACTAATTTTTTTAAATCATCGTGTTTAAAAACTAATTTGCGGTTAAAAAATTACATCACCCATGATGCTGTACAGAAAATTCCACCAATCAGAGAGAGTTGCGGGCAGTAGTTGCAGCCAGTTAATTGCAGCAAAACACTGTTTAGGTCCGCCCACTCCCATGAAGCATTGCAAATGATGTGATTGAGTTGGTCTGCCTACACTCTCAGAATACTTAAATATTTGTATTTATATATATGTATGCATATTTTTTAATAAACTTAAAATATATTGTTTCTTTAGATATAATTAACAACTTTAAATGAATAATTTTATATTTCACCATTGTTTTTAATTTTTATTATGTCATTCACAGTGTTTCATGGGATTGTAGTTTTTGTACTTTTGTACCTTTTTTGTCCAATTTTCAAATACATTTTTGCTTCAGTCAAAGTTTGTAATGTTGTGATTCACCTTGTAACTGTTTGTTTTGGTTCATGGCTTATAATGCTTTAATGAAGACATTTTTAAAATCCCTATGGGAGAAATTAATGGAAAAAGTACTTACAAACACACTGAAAAATTGGGCAGACACTAATGCACTCTTTTAGAGAATACAATCCCAGAATGCATTGCGATAACCTCAATTAAAAAATTATCCAAAATCGATGAAGTGAGAGAAACGTAATTGAAGATATTTAAATTATACAGAAATAAAATAAAATGATAAATATTAGATGATAAATCCAAACCTCAAAAATAGAAATTGGCCACTGAAATAATTTGATGTTAAAATAATAAAATGACTAAAACTGAAACTTAAAGAATAAATTAAAGCTAAGAAACAAAAACAAATAAATAACAAAATAACCAAAATGAAAATTAAAACTGAAAAAATAAAAGCTGAAGCATTAATAAAGACTGTAGTAGTAAATAAATAATGCTAAAATAACACTGTGCAATACATTCTAGATCAGTCATTAAGAAGGTTCTGTTTCAGTTAGGGTGCTGCCTTTGAAGACAGCCACCTATGTAGGCAGCACATTAAGTTTTGAAACAGAGCCATTGAAACGGTTGTTCTGCCCCCCAAAAGATTGCGATGCTCGCCTACGAAATGAGAAAGCCTGACAAAAGCAAGCAAAACACACAAACACAGTATCTGTAAACCCTCCTAAGCGATTTGAACCGCATCGCAGGCTTCTTGAGCGTTATGGTATCTGTGGCAGCAATGGTATTTAGGTCGGCTATTCAAGAAGGGTCTAATTGTGAATCCATCAAATTGCCTTCTTTTGAGGCCAGGTGTCTGAAGAATCACGGAACAGGAAGCTGGATTTTTGCAGCATGTGCGTGTGTGTGTTTGCGTTCTGTGGGAGGAGGGCAGACGCGTGGCCCAGGGCTGCAGCTCACACTCTGGAGGAATGGAGTGTGTGATAGGGGTGTCTAATCCCTTCATACACTCACAAACACACACACACGCACACACAATGAGGAACACAGGTTGTCCTGCTGAGGCAGCAAGAGTTGGCTTCAGGAAGTGAGACGAGAGCACAACGAATAAAAGAGAAAGAGACTTGTGTTCAGGAAAAGACAGAGGGTTGATGGCTTTTCTGCTAATGTGTTTGTATGGTAAATCACCAGGAAAAGGTTTAAAGGACTAAACCTGTGGGTCAGGGGAATCTGGCTGAGCAGAGATTTACTCTCGAACGGGAAGTCTGGGTCATCAACTTCCTACAGCCGCTTTCATTTGTTATTGGATTGAAATTATGTCGCTTTCCTTGTATGCACCGAAGAGAGAATAGTACACTCTTTGTATGCTCTGTTGAAATAGCATTTACATTTAACTTTAATAATATGACATAAGTTTGGGGTCAGTATTTTTAAAGAAATAAATATTTTTTATTAAGCAAGGATGATAAATACATATATAATGTTATAAAAGATTTCTGTTTCAAACAAATGCTGTTCTTTATAAATAATCCTGAAAAAATGTATCATGATTTCCATAAAAATATTAAGCAGAACAACTTCTTGAGAAGCCAATCAGCATATCAGAATGATGTCTGAAGGATCATGTGACACTGAAGACTGGATTAATGATGCTGAAAATTCATCTTTGCATCACAGGAATAAATTACATTTTAAAATGTAATAAAATATTTTTAAAGAGTCTTCTTTAAAAATATGAGTTTTACTATTATCACAGTTATATATGCTGCAAGAACATCTAGGTTTTTGCTATAAATATTTAAGTATTCATATATAAACAAACTATGGCAAACAGGTTTTTCTTGCTTTCAGCATAAACCTCAAAACTTTTAGACCTTAAGATCTCATTTTGCTTCTTAGAGTAAATTTGTTTTGTTTCAAGGATATTTATACTAGAAAACAAGAACAATATGTGACCCTGGACCACAAAACCAGTCTTAAGTCGCTGGTAGTTTTTCCCCCACTTTCAATTGTTTAAATTCAATTGAAAGGTTAGATTTTTATTGATTTTTTTAAAATGAAAGATCACAAGGATAAACAGTGCAATTTTATTTTCCACAGCCTTTTTTGCTCATATTTCCCCATTTTTTTCTTGCTAGCATTTAAAGGGTTAGTTCCCTCAAAAGTGAACATTCTGTCATCATTTACTCACCCTCAAGTTGTTGCAAAGCTGTATGAGATTATTTCTTCTGTTGAGCACAAAAGAAGATACTTTGAAGAGTTTTAGTAACCAAACAGTTGATGGTAGTCAATGGCTAGCCAAGTCAATGGCTACCGTCATCAGTTAGTAAATGTGAACTCTCCCTCAAAATAGGATTGATATTTTAAAACATTTTTATATATATTTTTGTCACTGGAAACTTGGACAAAGGATGATAAGGAATAGTGGGTGACCGGTCATGTACATGCTGCGATTCACATAGACCCGTACAAGTGCACTCTCTCCAAAAAGTTGGAGAAATGAGCTGTAAGAGTCACTGCAGAGGGCAGCTTTCCTCTCTCAGCCGGCAGCTCGGATCCATCACTGCGTCCCTGAAGGGTAATCACAGAGCTCTTATTACACTGGAGGGATGGCGATGGTCTGACAGAGCACTCCGACAGCTGATTGAGAGAAGTTTCTAGGTGCTGCTGGGAGGCCAGTTGATCACAGCTGTCAAAGAACTGACCACCTTTAGCTTTTCCCAAACAGCCCCATGATGAGCGCCGTCTCTCTTCATCGGCACCAGCCTGAGCCTGTCGCATCTTTTCTAAAGCCCGTCTCCATGTTGCTCACGCCCAAAACACTTTTCAGTCACTTTTTCGAATGCAAAGCTGTCTTTCTGGTGGTTCGTCTGATTTGGATTCTGCTGGTTGGTCATTACCTGTTCAGTCTGTCGACAGCTTTTCTTGATTCAGCCTGCATTTAAAAACATGACACGACATTCACAAAATCATTTCACTTTTGTAATGTGACATTTTTCTGACTGCAACACTGTAAAAATGATATGGGCTGCATTTCCCAAAAGCTTTGTAAGCCTAAGAAGTTCGTAAAAACGATCGTACGACTGATCTTAATATTACGGTCTGTTTCCCAAAAGCATCGTAAGAAGACAGATTTATTCGGTCACCAGCAGGACAATCGCCAGATTGTCTTTAACTTCATTCAAGTGCAATGTGATTATAATATAAAGTTTTGATTGTACTTTATTGTACACTTTATTACTCGTTTTTAAATTTTTTTAAATTTTTTATGAATTTATAAATGAAATAATTAAAAAGGGTAGAAAAAATTGAAATGCACATCTAAATTGAATGACTGAACAAAAAAAATTGATAAAAGAAGTAATGTAGGAAATATGCTTCATATAATATAATATAATATAATATAATATAATATAATTGTTATTATATCCGAATTGTCTGGAACGCAGCATTAGATTAACATTTCAATAAACGAGCGTGTACTACAATTACGAGCCATTCTATAAGGTGACATTTCAGCACTTGACAAACGGATAGCAACTCCTAAGTAGCACTTAAAGCACGGCTACGTGCGATTGCGTTAAGTGCATTTTGGGGAAACGCACGTGAAACAATAACGAACGATCGTAAAATGACTTGTAGAAAATGCTCTTAAGCTCTAAGATCAATCGTTATCAAGAAACGCAGCCATGATCTAAGTTATGGCAATTTATGTTTACATTACTTTAACTCATCAAAATAAGCAACTGCAAGTTTTTTAAGTTATATGAAATTCAACTAGATTTTTTTAGTTGGTTTAATGTCATTTAAGTTGAAATGACTTGTACAACCAAGTTGATTATACTTAAATTAAGGCAGCAACTGAACAGGGCTGCATTTCCCAAAAGCATCGTAAGCTGAAGTTGATTGTAAAAACGATCGCACGCATCATCTTAGACTTGCGGTCCGTATCCCAAAACCATCGTAACTTAAGTAGTTCTTGAAAATCTTCGTAGATCTACGAGTGCTCTGGAGTAATAGTAAATCCCTACATGCATCGTAAGAAGATATAATTATGAGGTCACCTGCAGGACAATCGGCAGATTACACCTTTAACTTTATTCAAGTGCAATGTGATTATAATTAAAGCTTTTGATTGTACTTTTTTGCAGTGGTGTAGTCTACGTGATACGCAGGTATACGCTGTATACCCACTAGGAAAGGTCAAGGATTTGCGTATACCCACTTAAAAAAGCGTGCGGATACGTAACAACATCGTTTTGTGAAAGATCTTTCACACGTTCATTCATAAATTCACCCTGTCTGTGTCGCGAAGCACCGACTTTTTGATAATCATGCTGTGTTTCTTTTGACGACTATTGCTATTGTGCAACTCTTGCACAGCATTGAGTGTGCAAGCTTGAAATGAATTAATGTGAATCACTAAAGGAGATATGAAATGATTACACTCTTTGAGTGTTTTCGTAAGCCTGCCCCTGAAGCTGCTGCTGCTTCGGGTGACGCTGCAAACAGATGACAGGAACGTTAACATTATAGAAACGACAGAAAATGAACCAGATAAGGCTGATATTATCCTACGCGGTACAGAAAATGAGGCTGATGTTATCGTAGCGCTACCTGGTACGTCAAAGTAGCATATACCTTATCATTAACGTAACTGTAACAGCAGGGGATTGTTGGCATGTAAGAACAATGAGTGATTTCAATAAACAAAAAGTTAATATTAAGTGACTTACATTGTCTGACTATAACAGTATTGCCTGATTTTGCTCTATTTTGTCAACTAAAATAGTTTCAAACAAACTCACAACTGAGCCGCTGCACATCTCCATTCAAACACAGCGTTGTTTTGTTTATGAATGAATCTGCGTTTTTAAACTAATCTAGTGAGTCGATTCAATTACCCATTCATAAAGACAGTCACGTGCTTTGTTCCAGAATGAATCAGCCATTCGAACGAATCAACTGAGTGAATGATTCAGTGATAAAATCAGTAACTTGCCGCCACCTGTGCATGTTTCACTCGGATTACATAATCTGAGAATATTTGTTTTCCATTTGAATTGGTTCATTTGAAAGTAGACATTTCACTCTCTATAGATATATTTTAATGTCTGTAAGGCAAAGATATACACGGAGTTTCGCGCTCGAGTTCACAGACCGAGATGGCAGAAAGCGCATCCTGTTTGCTTTCATTATTTTACAAAAGCACGTTTTGTTGTTATTGTGAGTGCACACAAATAAACATAGAGTCTTTACAGATTTGAAAGATGTATTACTCTTATCTGTATGACCAAAAATTACGGAGTAGCCTATTTTAAGAGCAAGTGAGCGCCCCGGCGCCTCCATCTGTCCTGGAGTGAGCGCTAATGTTCAGCTTCCACAAAGACACTTGAATAGCGGACATAGGCTAACATTAGATTGAGCGGCCATGTAAAGTTGCTAATAATTACATATTTCAGAATCAGATGATAAGCCATATTTTTGGTGGATGATTGATAGGCGAGCGTTTGGATGTCCTGCCGGATGTACTGTATTACCATAGATCAGCCGTTAACGATCTGCGTGACTTTGCCAATGTGGATTTTTTCTTTCTGCGACTAAGCGACTAAAAAAATTTTGATCGACCAAGCCTCTTCTGGTCGATTAACTATTAGTCGACTATTAGGGGGCAGCCCTAATTATATTATATTATATCTGAGCTGTCTGGAACGCAGCATTAGGTTAACATTTCAATAAACGAGCGTGTACTACAATTACATTGACATTTCAGCACTTGACAAACGGATAGCGACTCCTAAGTAGCACTTAAAGCAGGGCTACGTGCAACTGTGTTAAGTGCATTTTTGGCAAACGCACGTGAAACAATAACATACGTTCATAAAATGACTCGTAGAAAATGCTCTTAAGCGCTAAGATCAATCGTTATCGAGAAACGCAGCCCTGAAAGTTTTTAAGTTGAAATATTTTTTTATGCTGAAAAGAATATGCTGCAAGAATTTAGTAAAATCATTAAATAATTGTTTCTGTTATTTTTCCCCCGATGTCCACAGCCTTGTTTACTTTATCAGAAAAAAACCCCACATTATTTCAAAATTGGAAAATTTGTTATACTTCACCATTCAAAAGTCTTAAGCTCACCAAGGCTGCATTTATTTGATCAAAAATATAGTAAAAACAGTAACTGAAAAACAGTGAATTTTTTTTCAGGCTTCTTTGATGAGTAGAAAGTTCAAAAGATTTTTTTTTTTAATGGAATAAATATAAAAAAGTATTCCATTTATATATAAAAAAAAAAAAAAAAAAGCTGTAACATTATCTCTTTACTTTTGTTAAAAGTATTCAAATCTTACTGACACCAAATCTTTAAACAGTAGTGTATTTTAAAATATTATGAAAACATTTTTTTTTCTTTAAGTGATATGCATGAATTAATTATGCACAGATGGGGTATTTATTCAGAAAATAAATAGGCAAACATTTTGATTTAATGTCTTGAAAAAATACATTTTCACAGGGCGTGGACTGAAATATAAATGTAGAGATCTGTCACTCTGTATTATGTATAAATACGTTCATACTGATCATTGAGCTGATTTAATTTCAGTTTAACTCTTAACATAAATCTGTTTTGCTGCATCTCTGATTTGCAGCAGAGCGGATGGAGCTGCATAAATACTTTACATCTCTCTTCATGACCACAAAGACACTTGAATAGCGGACATAGGCTAACATTAGATTGAGCGGCCATGTAAAGTTGCTAATAATTACATATTTCAGAATCAGATGATAAGCCATATTTTTGGTGGATGATTGATAGGCGAGCGTTTGGATGTCCTGCCGGATGTACTGTATTACCATAGATCAGCCGTTAACGATCTGCGTGACTTTGCCAATGTGGATTTTTTCTTTCTGCGACTAAGCGACTAAAAAAATTTTGATCGACCAAGCCTCTTCTGGTCGATTAACTATTAGTCGACTATTAGGGGGCAGCCCTAATTATATTATATTATATCTGAGCTGTCTGGAACGCAGCATTAGGTTAACATTTCAATAAACGAGCGTGTACTACAATTACATTGACATTTCAGCACTTGACAAACGGATAGCGACTCCTAAGTAGCACTTAAAGCAGGGCTACGTGCAACTGTGTTAAGTGCATTTTTGGCAAACGCACGTGAAACAATAACATACGTTCATAAAATGACTCGTAGAAAATGCTCTTAAGCGCTAAGATCAATCGTTATCGAGAAACGCAGCCCTGAAAGTTTTTAAGTTGAAATATTTTTTTATGCTGAAAAGAATATGCGGCAAGAATTTAGTAAAATCATTAAATAATTGTTTCTGTTATTTTTCCCCCGATGTCCACAGCCTTGTTTACTTTATCAGAAAAAACCCCCACATTATTTCAAAATTGGAAAATTTGTTATACTTCACCATTCAAAAGTCTTAAGCTCACCAAGGCTGCATTTATTTGATCAAAAATATAGTAAAAACAGTAACTGAAAAACAGTGAATTTTTTTTCAGGCTTCTTTGATGAGTAGAAAGTTCAAAAGATTTTTTTTTTTAATGGAATAAATATAAAAAAGTATTCCATTTATATAAAAAAAAA